CTTATAAATCCCGATGTGTTTTCCTGTAATAATGTTCGCCTGGTGATCGAAACAATTCAGCAAGGAATACTATGTTCGCGGAGGAAATCGTTCATGATTCCCTCGCTAGCTGAGACAATCCGATTCACTGGTGTAACTAAAGTGGGGACAGGTCAGTTATTCTCGTGTGATCTTTTGTACCACCGCTCCATATAGTGCACGCTTCTTTTCATGTAAATTGTTTGCACTGACAATGAGTACTCAGTTTCCACAGCAATCATATATGTTTACACCCTACTGACCCTTTGCTCGATCTCTGAGCAGACATCACGTGCCCATCTAATCAATATGAGTTGAAAGGCATGTGATTTTTTTCATAACTTTTGTCATTCACATACATGACCTCATTTCTACAACACGGTTGCCTTGGTCAGCGTCTCCTATTTTCTCTCTCTTTCTCATCATAGGGTACGCAGCTGATCGATACTTTTCTATCTGATGACATACCTATTACCGTTCCGGCTGTGAACTATGTTCTACATATGATTTTTGCGCGATTTTGTGCGTTTTATTGCATCATTTCTTGTTTTTTCCAAACTGTGCCATTCCTATTTTATTGGTTTTTCAACATCTTCACTCAACTTGTGAACTGATACTCACCTGTTGATTGCTATTTTTATCCGCACTGCTCTACTCAAACTGTATACGCGCCAGTGCATTGTTACTGGTCACTGAACACGAGGCAACCCAAACTTTTGAATTATTGTTGCTCTTTCTTGTATGGATCGTTCTCGTCCAGATCTTCTCGCCGCGTTTTTCAGAATGCTTAGTGTAAAATTTGTGCACAAACCCTCGAAGCCGACAAATATTATAGTTCATTATGAAGTTATTATGCCATATCCTCTGTGACACTTCTACACGCTATAGATGTCAGTGTGTATTACTAGACAGTTTGTCTGTCTCGCAGCTTATCACACACCATGGACAGTATGATTCGTAAGATATTTGTCAGCCAACATGCCACAAACGGTCGGAGAGCGTAATGTCGTTGGGGTATGTGCCCAAAAGGCCTTAAATACCATTGGGCTCCATTCCGCAAAACGATCCATGTTTTTGGATTTGCGACTGCCTCGCCAATTTTAGAGCCATTCTTGTTCGATCGAGTCTCACTTTAATTGCGGATTGTGACTGCCACGACAAAGCTAAAATACGATATATCCCCAAATTATCATTGACTTTAAAGAAAATACCACGAGAAACAGAATTTTTATTACCACAGAAGTATGATACGTTTCCAACTGAAGCCAGTTTAATACTGCGTGCATTGGTCATACCGTCGCGAAACTTCTGAACGTACCTTCACGGAGTACTCCTCCTAAGATTTCAGATCATGTCCTTGTCGACATTATTCCACACTCTAATCAGTGATGCTCCTAGTTCATACTATCTGGAGTGAACTTTAGGGTGTTGGTACACCTTTCGGATAACCCAATGTTTTTATTGGGTTCAAATGTGAGCTGTCGCAAACCACACCATTGCTTCGATGTCGCGAAATAGCAACCAGCATGCTGTTCGGTACGAGTCATTAACGGTGTCATTTGAGTTATTCTTATCCAAAAGATGTACCAACACTGGAGTTTACACCAAAAAGCACGAATTAGGAGCATCATTGACTAGAGAGTGATATAATATCGACACGAACATGATTCGGAGTATTATAGGGAGTATTCCGTGAAGGTATGTTCAAAAGTTTCGAGACGGAATGGCTAATGCACCCGGTCTTAAACTGGCTTTAGTTGACAAGTTCCAGCGGTGCGGTACCATACTTCTGTCTCTCGATGTAATTTCTTTTAAGCAAAAGATAATTTTTCGGAATTTCGGTTCTTCATTTCGTTGCCGTCGAGATTCTCGAAAATGGTGATTTGCGTGGAGATAGTCCTAAAGTCCATCGGGGTGCATTACTATGTGATATCCAGATAAGCCGATTTTTTGAGACGCTGGGCGATATAAAATGTTCTGAACGATGTTGCTCGTGAATTTATTTAACTTCTTCGCCAATTTAGTTTGATTCTATTCCTCATCTTAACGCTGGAAATGCATCAGCTTTTTAGTTCTTCCCTGAACTTCTTCATTTCAATGAGCAGCTAAAACATAGCAACCAGAACCGCTGCATGCCAATGGTTGTGTTGATTGAACAAAGTCTGAATAACATTGTGGTGGCATGTTGGACCAGCAGTCCTGCACGTCACGTCCAACAGTTGATGATGATTGCTAACGAGATTGATATGCGTCATGTTGGTACTGCACAATGAGCCAACGTTTTACGATTTTGGCGGCCAAAATTCGAATAAACTCTGTCTGCTGTTCGCTGTAACTCGAACAAGACCTGGTGAATCACATAATCTCAACCTATCACGTTCATTTTCACATTACACTAAAACAAGCCTGTATTCAGTTGTAGTAGGGGAACTGATATTAGAGAACTATACCAAAGCATTGCTCCGGCACGGTTTAATTGTTTCTTAGAATAATGAACGCATAACCCCGAGTGTATATTGCTGACAAAAATTATTTTGTGAAAATGACCTTGGTCACATTGATTGAGTAGTCTTCGTTCATTTTTTCAACTTACTTGCTAAGGTCGAAAGTACCAGTTTTGAGAATTAGGACACGCAGTTCGATTTGTACATCTGGTAACCATGCACCTTTCGTGCGCCGGTTTTGGTTGGTTGCTGTCCTATGATCCCATTTGAATGAAGGAGTGAGAGGAAGACTACAATGTCGAAATCAGTGTCAAGGTGAAAAAGAAAGAGTGCATGAGAACTACGTATGCAATGAAACTGATAAGATGCACGAAACCCACTGCTTACGACACACAGTCATATCATTCAGTCTCTAACCATCGAGTACGATCATCCCGAGGTCTCCAGCCAGGGAGCCTAACAGGACCTATGTGACCCAGTCTCCTGGTCAGGGTTTTCATACCTTCGTGCCAGGTCTTCGCTTTACCACCATTGGCTTTATTCCACCCACTACCTACCTCGGCGAACATCGCTCGCCGTGGTAACCTATCCGGTGAGATGCGTGACACATGTCCCAACCAACGTAATCTATGGAGGTCGATCACTTGCTTCAGTGGGTGACCGCAGATACCCAAAACTCTGCCCCTAACCTCAGCATTGTTCACCCGGCCGTCCCACCAGGTTCTTTTCATTTTAAATTCCTTTATGAAATATAAAAAGGTACAATTTTCAGGAAGAGAAAAGCGTACAATCTAAGGGCTGCCATGCAACACGATGGGTAAATTCAGGCGGTGATGGTGGTATTCGAACACACGTCCTCGGTGGCTACGTTACCACTGGACCACCACCGCTCGTGCAATGCTGCGGAGACAGTGGTGTTCAAATACTGACAGACTGTCTTTATCTTGTTTTTTTAATGACAAATTTCTGCGCCGCATAGCAGAACTGGCCGAACTGCCGCGACTAACACTCGACCCTTCACAGACAGCCGGATGCCATGACAGCGCCACAGCTGTTTCAAGTTGGGAAATGCCAACCGAGTCTTCTGTATGCGAGCTGGCACTTCATCTGTGATGCGTCCACCGCGTGAGATGAAGCTGCCCAAATAACAAAACTTATCCACTTGCTCTGTTACTTCTCAATTAAGGTGAGTCTGGGTCGGTCCAACATCCAGGCTCACTGCTCACTGCAGACAGTGGTGTTCAAACACCGGCAGACAATACATTACCACAAAATCAAAATTAGACAACGAAATAAGGCTGTTGAATTTGTGTGTATTTCAAAGAATTAGTGTGGTATATACAGTGGAATCTCGTACGGTAAAGCACCAATAGGGACATAAAAGCACAAGCCAAAAGGTAAAATTCGAATGGGACATGCGTGTTAGCTTTCGAGTTCACGAAGCTGAAACTGCTCTTCATCGTATAGTCGAGCTCGAACCACGCGTCCGGCGTAGAACCGCTGATTCAGTGCATCGCAAGCCGCTTGTGCTGCGTCAGATCGATCAAACTGGACAAAAATACGAACATCGGAGTCCTTGATGTGAATCACCACTCGGAGCACGTGACCGTATTGGGCGCATTCTTCTTTCACCTCTTCTTCCACTACCTCGTCAACCTCATCTGCATTCATCATGTTTTCCAGCAGCATGACTCTGAGTGGCACAGAAACAACACGTTTGGCAATGTACTACAACGTTCAGTTTAAATACTGAAGAAAAGGAGGCATATAATCACTACCAAACGATACGGAGTACTAATAGGAATGAAATTATCTATTTGTCGATGGTCACGGCAACAGTAACCATGCTGCCGAAAGTAGATACCCCAATTGTTATTGTTTTTATGTCAATTCAATGTTCATGCGTTGTCAAGGCTGTTGAGTTAGTTAAAGAGCCTCTGCTCTGTGATTATAACAACAATTGTTCTGCAGCCGAAATAAGGGGTACATAAATACAAATTCACGAAATTGAAGGAACTGTCTCTTAGAGAGTGTAATCCATAAACCCGGTGACTGATTGTCGGTCAAATTTAATGAATTAGCCATATTGTTTACTTTGACAGAGCAATGTTTACGGGATAAATCTGATGAGGTATATGCGCAATACATTATCAATCGCTCATGACTGTGTCACATTCGACTTGGTGACGATCTTGAATAGTTCCTAACATGTACCTGATTCCTTGATCGAAGTACGTCGGGGAGGGTAGACCTACCTTGATAACGGGGTCGTGAAAAAGAATCCTGACTGAACCGTATCCTCTTCTGTGACGACATTCTCCGGTTGATCTACATGAAACTCAGACGCAGTCATGGGTTGTATTGGAAGCGACGAGTCCTCATCATCATCCCACACGGACGCTGTGAGCTGAGACGCTTCATTCACGGGTGCGACATCCACTAAAAAACGGAGTAGTGAAAAACTGTAACCGTGTACTGTTCACTGTGATGCTGCCAGCTGGTCCATGAGAAACAAAAGATATATACAGCACAGTTGAGGATCAAACATTTTAATATCCGTCGTCAGTTCTTTTATGTACATCTACCAAACACCTGTTTGCATTCATTGGTAGTAACACTTCGGCCACTGTAAATCAAGACGATCTTCTGGAGAATTCATAAGACGCAGGCTTTAAGTGATGAGGATTGTTTCAGTCTTCTATTTATAGCACTGTGGCATTCAGTCTAACTCAAAGTTTCCTATCACATGACAATCGTACACTGTTGTAGTAGACTACGACTGGGAGTAATCACCCCTCGACGATCGAGGTTGATTAAGACTGAAAATACCAGGAAATTGTCCACTCTCGAACAGCCACTGCAGTCAAATTGAGTGCAACCCATCTATTTGAGGTAAAATGTCACATATCGTTCGATAGATAAGTTTAAATTCTGTACGATAAGCCAACGAAAACAACCGCGTCACGAACCGCAATGACCTAAATGGAACTTATAGGAATCTTGCCTTCACTCTAAATTAACCGTTGTTTCTCGACTATCATGCAAATAAAAATTGCCAAGTTTCCCGCAGTCATATTATTTCGGTTGGACAACAACAAGTAATGGTGTTGCTGTGCAGTGACCGTTTGAGTTCGCGACATTCGAAAGTGCAAACGGGAGATTTATTTCAAGTAATTTATGTTTATCGGTCCGATACAGGTTGTGCCGTGTAAAAGCGGACGGCATGCCTTTCTGACGTGAAACAAACAAAACCCGGCAAGAATGTGAAATAATTGCGAAATCAAGGTGTATATCGCCGTGTATTCAAATCAAGCATATGAGATATTCTTTGGAGAAAACGGGTCGGTGAGTGAACAATTGTTTTCGGATATTCCTAGTCATGCTCTTACATATCATTAAGTGGAAAAATTCTTACATAATCATGGCCATTGGCTCGACTTGAGGTCATTTATCGGGGGCAGAGAGTAGAGGATGTGAATGTGTGTGTATAATTGTTTAGCGTGTTAGTTGCGGTGACCTTTCCCCACTTGGGTCAAGTGACAGGTCATGTTGTGTCTTGGTTTTCACACCCGACCAAGACAATTGCAGCGCCTGCACCAGTCTTTTTTAGGCACCTAGGTTGGGGCCTAGTAAGCTAATTGTGATCGCTTCGGACAAACTCGGGCGCCCTCGATCGATTGAGTGGGATGCGATAAACGAAATGGAAAGCTTTCTCGGTTCGATCTTGTGCCCACGCAATCGATTCGTGTTTGTTGTGAAAAAGCGCCATTGAAGACCCCAGAACTATTTTGCACGGTTAGAGACACGGATACTGGCGTGCACTTTTTCACGTGATACTTCATCCACAATGGCTTGATACCTTTGTGATGGTAAAGCATTCCATTTCACAGCTCCTTGTGACAGACCCATAAGATTTGTGCGCGCTCATGACCTACAACCGTCATCTGTCATTTAATGAGCACTATTCCGTGACCGGTTATGATATTGCGGCCATCGATTATTCGAAGCAAAATCATCTTCCGCAAACATGTGTAAAGACCTGCATTCCCTTTCGACGGCCTGGGTTAAGGCAATATTTTACATCCATATTTGCTGATGGTATCTATCAGAATGAATAATTTAATTCCATACTGTTCCGGTACGATTGGCATAGATCGTCCTCAAAGGACCTGGAGAGAATGAAAATATCGCACGCCGGCATTCTACCCCGTGATTCAGTTCCTGGGTGAACACGATGCCTCCACAAATCTGAATTGGTAACGGGAATTCGGTTGTTCTTTTAAGCATCAGCCGTCGTAATGGCCATATTCTTTGAGTTGAGGAAACGTGAGCACAAGGCTGGTAGTGCAACCGGACATCGTTTATATAATGAGCTGTCTTCGTAACGCGTCGTCATGGGATTCAGCACGTGATACACACGTAGACAAAATTGACCGTAGCTATCTGCTCTGTACTAGAATTTAACTAAATTGTTGCCACATCAACGAAAATTATCGTAATAACAGATTCGTGGGACATTCAGAGCATTCCGGTGGACAAAGTCATGAAAATTGATTTCATTCTGGTTAATCTCTACTAAAATGGGTGTCTAAATATTGTTCGTCATCGAAATTGACAATCTGGCTGTTCTAGTTTGATCACTGCTGGATCATGGTTTCATGATAGCCACCAATCATTACGTATTAGACAAGCATGAATGGCCCCATAGAAGAACAAGAAAATCACGTGTAAGGGTGCAATAGCAAACATTCGATCAGTGCCAGCAAGCAACAAGGTCACTAGGATGGAGGAGTGCTATATTAAGCAAACGAAAATTCGATGGGAAAAAGAATTTAATCAATTTGGGTATCACAGTGATTCACAATAACAGTCACCTGATTCATTGAAGTCTATTATTAGTGTTTAATCATTAAATAACACTTCACCAATCGTGGGTAACTTAGTTCAACCAATCAAATGACAAATGCCAGTTGACTATGACAAACTCTTACCCATGATTGGTGATGCGTCTGACTGTGTGATCTGTTTTCTAATATTACCTATGTAATCCGTGGACGCCTTGAGAAGGAATTACTGAAAACCAATTGTTTCGCCAAGTTGCGTCTGTTCTAAATGCTGTGACGGGAATTTTTCATACAAAAGTCGTTGAATACGATTTTGATTGCATTGCATACGTGCACGTGACATCATTGTGCTTTCTGCAGTGTCCGAAAACAATACCAGGAGATGTGAAAGTAAGAACAGAGCCGTATGTGCCCCCTACCCCGTTCGCTGATTTGTATACAAAGTAATCGGGCTCGACCATTCGGTGCAATGCAGGATCGTTGCATGGCTGAAAACCAAATAGATCGATCGATCGTACATCACAACAGGAACAAGGTGAATTAGCGATCAAGAGCCTAATTTTTACACCGCTATTTTAGCTTAATAGCGATAAATTTACACAAATTCCGCAGCTTGGATGGAGAGTATCACCATCAGACAACCGTGCACAGACCACCATCGGCTTTCTTGTAAATGTCATGAAGAGATTGAAAAAAGGATGGATAGAAAGAGTATTTTGACACCAGCTGATCATGTGGTTGTTCCACAACGTACTTTTTGGTTCTTCATTGTTCGCCTGATCCTCATTCGAATCGCCAAGCGTAGATGGAATGAACACCCCGGGCGGTGGTAGATTGGGAGCTTCCGTGGTTGACCCGGAGAAGCCACTGGTTGGATTGGGTCGCAAGGCCTGTGGTACCAAGGGAGTGAGAGGGTAGGTGGAATAGAGAAATTGAGCAGTTTGAAATTGACCTTGTTTGAAAGGAGGAAAACTTAACAATGTGTCGGCGGAGCTATTTTCGTGAGGCTAGACACTACGCATCCGATCGCACTAACGCGCTGAATGACATCCGATTTTCAAGGTCCTCCTTTGTCCCAGTTTACCAGCGGCACGTGTGAGGATCGAACGACTGGTTACCGACCGAAATATGCTGCTGCAGGCTGGATCAGTTTTGACAGCTGGAAAACCCAGAAAAAACGTAAGACAGACATCACAAAAGGAGCAGGTCGTCCCGAAAATTTGCCTTCGATTCAAGCACACCAAACATACCGGCTCAAGGACAGGTTTCACTTACTGTCGCTCGTATAGACGAGAAGATCAGCTAAGCGACTTGCTCTGCAGACCAAGCTGACATCAGCACTGTGATTGCAGAACAAACTTCCGGTGACAGACACAAGTTGAACTGGTAAGAGAATAAATAATTAAAAAAGCAAAAGACGAAATTTATTTCGGTCGACAAAACGGTATTCAGGAGTGGAACCACAAAAACGGTGTAAACCTCGATCACTACAGAACAGCAAAATGAATTTATTTTGGGAAGATGAGTTTACATTCTAATGATGAGCAAACTTTGTAGTCTGAATAAATATCCAAATGTGCAATTGATATACAGTCGGACGTTCTGTCACCAGGAAAAGCATACCTATGCTGATTTGATTACCCTCTGAGTACCATAGACGCACCTCACTAGGGTACTGCTGATCGATGTTCACACGCCTCGAACAGCATTCCTGGTCAGAAGGAAATCGCTGAAATCGGTCTGGCAAATTAAAGGTAGTTTCCGCGTTGGAAGTAAGCGCCCAAATTATTCGCGAATGACTGATTTACACCGACGTGTGGGTGACATAAAAAACCTATGCGTTCACCGTATTCGTTTTAGAATTAAATTATAAGGCTCATGCATACGATGATACAAGCTCTCATTTGTACAGAGTTGATAGAATGAAGTTGACGACATATTCAGTTGACCTAATTCACAATAATGTTGAACACAACCTGTTCCCAGAGCGAAGAGAGTAAATTAAATCCAAGAGTTTGGGACACGAATATACTCAAGTTTTAACTTCTACCAAGGTCGAATTGAAGGTAGCCGTTCCCGGTGAAGAGGCGAGCGTAAAATTTAGCAGAAGAACCTGTTCGGAAGAAGACAACGTAGGTCTAATTTAGATGAAACAGCTGGATTTGTCCAACGAATTCATCGTGTTAGGCCAAACAGTAACTTATCCCTGAACCGGTATTAGTCTAATTCAATGTTGCATGAAATGTGAGAAATCTGCTTGGTAAATTGGACCACTGAAGAAATGGGTATTCAATAATCATATACGAACCGATACATGTCCTGGCTTGGATTCGCAAAATAAGTTTCCAAACTGTTCTGTTGTCATAGGAACAAACACTGCCGTTTTTATCTTAAAGATTTCACTTGACCTACTTCAAAATATATAATGATAAAAATTCCTTGCACTTTTACTTTTCCTTATCGGAAATAGATTACGATTCTTCGCAGAAGAACCAAGAATGTAGATTACATGATGTGCACCGAACGTTCAAGAACTGATCTCACTTTGAAGTAGAATCCTTTCGAGTTATAACAATAAAACTAATTTGTCGTAGATTGTCGCATTCCGAATTGAACGCAGTTGTTTCATGGGCAGATAACGCGCCCGGTTTATTAGGCTGTATCACTGGTCGCCTAGTGTCACGAAATTCCTAAGAAACCTTTTTGACCCCTACACGTGTCTAACTTTACGGGGCAAACAAAATTGTGGGAAAAGGCTTACCTCTGTTGCGTTTTCTGTGGCACCAGCTTCCTGGGCATCCATAGACATTACTTTGGCCGATATCGTTGCCGCAGCCAGTGCAACCGCAGTTGCGGGTGCTGAACTGCTTAGACCGGAATTCGGTTTCGCAGTCACGTTTGCTTCCAGCGGTAATGTCACATCGCGTGGTGTGATAGCCCGACAAACACGGAGTTGTTGACCGGCAAGATCGAAACAATTCATGCTGGAAACTGCTGCAATCGCAGATTCTTCAGCCTCGAAATCAATGTAGCCAAATCCACGATGACGTCCGGGAAATTTGGGGTCTGGATAAAGGCTGGAAAAAACAAGACAGATGGGTTAAAACAGGAGTGAGTACATGTGCAGGGGAATTTTCGCATAAGTTCTGTCGGAGTTCAGACGTGGGAACCACAGGATACGAATCAAAAGTTTACATAGGGTTTAGAGTTCGCGGGTGGGGGAAATCATTTTTATAGAAGTTAACACAAGGAGAAAGTATTAAAATTGACTAGTTTACATAAGTTATGGAAACACGAGCGATAAATTTTCGATTATAGCACAAGAGTTTCAAATCCTGTCTAAGTCGGGAAGAACAACTGGAAGACAAAGAAGTAAGATTGGGAAAACAACAGTAAACATAACTGAACGAGAAGTGTCAAATGGGTTAAGCTTTCTGATTTGAAATCATTGACGGCGTAGTTCTCCAAAGCAGCTGTGGAGCGTGAGTTGACCAACAAG